TTCCCTAATCTGCGTTATTTCAGTGAGTGCAGATGAAACCCATAAACACCAATCTTTCTCTGCAGGTTTTGCCTTAAAACTGAAAAGCTTAGTTAGCATTTGGTACAGATGTATAGGAATGACTTTCTTACTATCTTATTTATGTCATGTATTTCTTGTGAGCAGTTGAAAGCTTCCTGTATTATTAGCGATCAACTTATCTTTGAGTGGCTTAGATAAATGGGCAATTATTGAGATAAAGGATGTCTGCCCGATTATTATTTAGATGTAAGACTTGAAGCAGCATGAATAAGTTCGGGATTAATGCTGCTCTGCAGTGAGTAGTGTTGCTGTTTTAACTGAATTTAGAGTGCCTGTTCCTTTCTAGAATGCGCGGAAAATTCAATGCATTTATTGCAGTGAGTGACCAACCTTCTTAATGGACCAAATACTGTTTAAAATACCTCTAGTCTAATTAATATTAACACTCTTTAACAAAAGGCTATGCAGTGCAGTTCTACCATTCACTTACTAACTGGAATGTGTTCTTTTTGTTATAGCTCATGTATATCCTTTGGACCCAAGAACCGCTCGATTGGCGCTGCAGCTAAAAGCCAGGTGAGCGTGTAGTCTGGGTGAAAGCAACTTCAGTAGTCAAAAATCAGATGAGCAGAATGGATTTTTTTATCATTGAAGGTTACAGATGTCTCTGAGCTGGCTTCCTAGTGACTCCATAACTGTAATGAACAGCTGAGCTTCATTCAGCTGTTCAGCATGTAACGCTGCTTTGTCATCTTGGGTACAACTATCAGCCCGAAGATTTCTACATAACGGAATGTGCAAAAAAACCCAAGCGAAAATAATTAAAAAAAAAACCACACAAAAAAACCCCAACCAAACCCCTTTGCCTCTTAAAAAAAAAAATCAGTATTTACCACAACTTCTTAGGTTACAAGTGTAATTTATAAAGCTAAGCAGCAGTGTTTGATCCTACCTTAGCTTGTTCCAGTTTGTCTGCATTATAATGGCTTTTAACTATGTGGCTGCATTCTATAGAATTCCATTAAGTGCATAATTTTGGCAAAAAGAGGATGTAATTGAGTTTAAATATATATAACTTCCTTGACTCTTTGTGGTTCAGTTACAATTTGTGTCTCTATCTTGGGCTTTCTTGCTCATTCTTTGAGTTGCTGTTGGTGTAGGCAGGTGAATATGGTTTAAAGACCAAGAAGTTAAACTGATTTGTCCTGCTCATGACATTTGGGTCCTGCTGTATTGTTCTTGTGTTGCTGTGAAACCCCTATAAAACATGACTCTCTTTTGAAGTCCTCTACAGGAAGTGACTATTCAAACACTTGATTTTTCTTAGCCTAAAATACCTAGAGATGTGTGAAGATTTATTATGTGTAATACAAAAAAAGACTGGATGCAACCATGCTATTCAAGAACAGAAGAAGTGTACTAGAACTAAATACAGATGTTTTTTCTGGAGTTGAGTGTCTGCTTAGCTTAACGAAATTCATTGGTACAGAGATCCTGTAGAGATGAGGTATGTCCTGCAGAAACTGAACTTACAGCAAATCAGAGCCAGGTTACTTAGGAAATAGGCACTTGACTGAAACTGAATCACAGGTAAATGTCACATGGTATGGTGCTTGTCTGCTTTGTCAGTTCCTGTGCTTTTTCAGTATCTGTCTTGCTCTAATAGAAATGAAAGAATTGCACTACATCGAGCTATAATGATTTTCACTTCTCCATTTACACTGATCTCTGCTGTTACTAAAAGACAATCTGCCTTTTGTCAGTTAAATCAAGTTGACAGTGTCCTCATGGGGGCCCTCCTGACTTTTTAAAGCTTCATGACAAGGTCCTTGAGCTGTTTTGTGAGAATATCTGTGTTGACTGTCACATGCATGTGATGAACCTGAGCTGGAGTTCCCATCAATATGCTTGTTATTGTGGAGTTACTGGCTGCGGTGCGGTAGAAAGGTAGGGTGGTAGGAAACAGGTAAATGGGAAAGACACTTTGCTTTGTTTTTTTTGAAGTGTCCTACACTTATACTATGAAAATTGAGTGCTATATTAATGCATTTTTGCTAGAATCTTGGCTCAGTTTTCTGGCATACGTTTTCATTTAAGTCTCAAGTTCCTGTAGGCTTCCTGACCCATCAGAGGGAAGCTGCCTTCTAGCAGCTGCCCTGATACCATTAAGGTACAGATGACAAAAATACTCTGGCGAGAGAAGCATGAGAACAGACCTGTCTTCTGCTTGAAATTCAGGTGTTCCCCTGACATGTTGTATTAAAGATTTCTTTTCCTCTAGGTTATTTCAAATGCAAAGAATACAGTACAAAGTTTTAAAAGATTTCATGGTCGTGCATTCTCAGATCCCTTTGTTCAAGCTGAAAAAGCAAGTCTTGCCTATGAACTTGTCCAGCTGCCAACAGGCTCCACTGGCATCAAGGTAAGTCTGGCACGTTTGAAAGAGCCAGCGGAGGAAACTGATCAAGTTTCCTTTTATCTCTTTATTTTGCATCTGCTTGCTGTAGTTTCTGTTCTCTCGTGAAAGGAAAGCCTTAAATAGGGAATAAAAGACTAACAATGCAGATGGTTTCTCCAGGTGTTAGGTGAGACTGATTTCGCAGCTATACAACTTATCTGCCTTGCAAAGCCTGTCCTGTGCAAGCTATTTTAGCAGTGCTTTTTTCCTTCGCTCTCTGGTGAACTTGGAACACAAGCTACTTGACCACTTAGCTGCTGTCCAGATACTGCAGGGTTATAAGATTTTAACTTAATATTTCAGGTGTCATGCTAAATATTTTGTCTTTTTTCAACAATGGGTGGACTTCTGGTTCAGATTTTAGCAATAACTAACTAACTTACCCCAAAACAGTAGGGAGGAAGGCATCCTAGGCATCATGTAGCAATCGGGATTTAAAAAAACCAAATATCTATGTCCAGAGCAGCTTTGTGTGAGTTACTAAATGTGCATTCCACTGTTTTTGTATTATCTTCTTGCACTTGCTGTGTGTGAGCTATGTTATCAGAGAGAAGGTTGCATAAAGCTGCATTACTTTTTAAGCTTGCTTTTAGTAAAGACTTCATTGCACGTAGTGCATGGTTTTTACTGCATTGTAATACACATTTACACAATTTTTTCTTCAAAGGCCATGTATATGGAAGAAGAAAGAAACTTTACTATTGAACAGGTGACAGGAATGCTCCTTACCAAACTAAAAGAGACCGCTGAGAATGCGCTTAAGAAGCCTGTAGTTGACTGTGTTGTTTCTGTAAGTATTTGACAGTAGACAAGTAAATACTTGCTTGGTATCATAAACTGAAGAGAGTGGTGGTGATAGCATTGAGTTGCCAATTGAACCTGAATATTCAGGTCTTTGTCTTTTGTATTTAAAACCAAATCTTACTTGCATCTCTTCCCCAAAACTAGACTTGCTTCATTCATGGTGAAATGTCTTAAATTGCTGCTAATGAGCAGTACGAATAATATTTGATACCTGTTTCTGGTTCTTTGCTCCTAAAATGAGTGAGGGGGAATGGAAAAAGGTTCACAAAAGTAACACTGTCTTCGTATAGTGTGTTCTTTGCTTTCTCTCTATTGCAACTGAAATAAACATTAAACTTGGAGGTTACCGCAGCTGTGCTCTGTACTGACTCCCTGCACACTTGTGTAACTGTTTGCTGAGGGTGGGTCTCCTAAATATTCACATTGGCTCTGTGATTGTCTTACAGGTTCCCTGTTTCTACACAGATGCAGAAAGGAGGTCTGTGATGGATGCTACACAGATTGCTGG